AGGATCGCCGGAGCCCAGCATGTTGAGGCTGCGGTGGCTGGGAGCGGCCACTGCACTCCACTCTGGGCGACAGAGTGAGACTCCAACTCAAAAAACAAAAAAGATACATGGTCTCACTTTGTTGCCCAGGCTGATCTCAACTAGCTCCTAGCCTCAAGCAGTCTTCCTGCCTTAGCCTTCCAAAATGCTGGGAATATAGGCATGAGCCCCCGTTCCCCACCATAGTTCTTGTGTTAATAAATATTTGTCAGTTGTTTTTTTTTTTTTTTTGTACTCAGAGATAGCCCATTTTTGTTTTACTGGTCTGATTTAGTTTGAGCACCACTGCCTTTTGGGGAAAAGGGCAAAGTGGAAAAGGAAGTCTTAGTGATGATTAGGTTCCAGGTATCTGAATTTTTATTCATGCAAAAGGGTATCCTTATTGATACTAAAATCTTAGTTACTTTGTTGTCATTGTTAGCCAATGGTTTTTTGTGTCTATCTGCTGCCAAACCCACTCTGGAGGACTCATCCTTTTCTCTTACCATGCTGCCTAGGGCTTCATTTTCCCCTCAAAGAAGCAGTTAATTGAGTGAACAGACTCAAGATACATTTCTTCTCAGGACTAGAATTAACTTGAGGAACATTTCTATAAAGTAACTAAATGGAACTTTTATTAATGGTGGAATATTAAAAAGTCTTTTGGTTGGGTTTTACTTGACTATTTCTTGTTAGGTTAGTTCTATACTTTGAAGAACTGACTTGTTTTCATTTTTTTGATGAATAGACTGGAAAATTTTGGCTACAACTTCTTAAGATGGTCATTTGGTAAGATAGATATACCTAACACTGTAAATCTAAACAAAATTTTCTCTTATTCTTTTCAGAAAATGATGACTTATTTATGATGCCACGAATTGTTAATGTCACATCACTGGCCACAGAGGGAGGTTTGGTAGATATGGGTGGCAGCAAATATTCTCATGAAGTTCCTGATGGCAAGCCACCTGACCACCTGAAAGATACCATGAGGAATGATGATAACTCTTTAGAGGATTCAAGTAGAATCTCTTCCAGAGCGAACCATAGAGATGGCAGAGTTTTTCTGGCAAATAAAGAGTCTGCTTTTCCACAAATAGTTGATGTTACCAGTATGCAGGAAGCACAGGAGTTCTTACCTAAAAAGATTTCTGGTGATTCAAGAGGAATTCAGTATAAATGGAAAGAGAGTGAATCGAGAGGGGATAGACTGAAGTCAAAGGAGTCCTCATTTCATAAGTTAAAGATGAAAGATCTCAAGGACTCAAGCATAGAGATGGAACTGAGGAAAGTAACATCAGCTATAGAGGAAGCAGCTCTTGATCCCAGTGAACTTCTGACTAACATGGAAGATGAGGATGATACTGATGAGACACTGACTTCCCTGCTCAATGAGATTGCCTTTCTTAATCAACAACTAAACGATGACTCTGTTAGCCTGGCTGAACTGCCCAGCTCTATGGATACAGAATTCCCAGGGGATGCTCGACGGGCTTTTGTCAGTAAACTTCCTCCTGGGAACAGAGCAGCTTTCCATGTTGGGCACTTGGGAACTGGCTTGAAAGAGTTGCCTGATGTTCAAGGGGATAGTGACTCCATCAGCCCCCTTCTCTTGCACTTGGAAGATGATGACTTTTCTGAGAATGAAAAACAGCTTGCAGAACCAGCCTCTGAGCCAGATGTGCTTAAGATTGTTATTGATTCAGAGATAAAGGATTCCCTCCATTCCCACAAGAAAGCAAGTGATGGAGAGAAGAGTACTTCTGGCCTCTCTGCAGAGCCTGAAAGTGGTGTGTCCTCACCCCCCATCCTACACATGAAGACTGGTCTGGAGAACAGCAGCAACACAGATACTTTGTGGAGGCCTATGCCAAAGTTGGCACCTCTAGGTTTAAAAGTAGCTAATCCTTCCAGTGATGCAGATGGTCAGAGTCTCAAGGTGATGCCTTGTTTAGCACCTATTGCTGCCAAAGTTGGGTCAGTTGGACACAAAATGAACTTAACAGGAAATGACCAGGAAGGCCGGGAGAACAAAATGATGCCTACATTGGCACCTGTTGTGGCTAAATTGGGCAACACTGGGGCTTCACCAAGTTCTGCAGGGAAATGAACTTATTTGTCCTCAGGCAGAAGACAGGCTATGAGGGGAAATTGAATTTCACCTCCTTTCTCTTCAGGCATCTGTTTGTGTCTTGGAACTTTGATCCTTGACTTTGATGATGCGGTGGATAATGATGGAGAAAGGGGCTAGGGTGCTGACCATGGTATAAGAAGTACTATGAAAATCTGATCATGTTAAAATGTGTTACCTCACTTGTGGTGCTGGGTCCTCTCATCCTCTAGACGATGTGATCCATTACTGAACACGAGGTGCCCCTTTTACCCAAGGAATTCATAACAAGATTTTGGCTCCATAGTGGTTCCTGGTTCTTCCCCTCAAGAAAAAAAGCTGCTTGCGACTTTGGAGTTGCTATGGACTGAACTGTAGCTGATAGCTGTTGGGTTAAGTCTGAAATCTAAGGAATGAGATGCACTTGTGCAAAGGGATCCAAAAGAGATAGTTTTTAGTTGAGTTTTCAAGAATAGGGAGAGAGAGGATGGGTACCATGGAATACCAAAGTGAAGGACTTTGTGTCTCTCTTTTTTCATATCTCAAGTAGCTCCCATTCCCTCACCTTATCAATCAGAATTACAAATGCAAGCCTTCTGGTAAAGTAGGGATGCTTTTAACTTTTATTATTAAGGTAATTACTTTGAGATCTTAAAAAAAATAGTTCTCCTTTATTGTATTTGTGGGTATTAGAAAGTTTATTTCACAGTGCCAGGGATTTTTACTGAGAATATGCATCCTGGAGGTAGGCATAGAGGGACCCTACCCCTTTCACAAATCATGTCACTCAAGAGACAGCTAAAGCATTCTCTCCCCAGATCAGAGACAGTGGCCAAAATAAAAAAATATGGGGCTGGATAGTTCCCAAATCAAACCAGCCTCCTGGTGCTTGAAGGTTTCATTCACTATTACCTGCACAGGATGTAAAGGAAAGAAAAGTCACAGTAGGCACTCTTTACCAGGGAAATAAGGCAGTATTTGAATCACAAGATATATTTTTTATCTGCTACCATGGATTCAATGATCTGTAGAGCTTTTTCACTCATTAGCTGTCAGGGTATGAAGGACTGACAGTCTGTAAAGATAAAGATATTTATATTTTTGTATAGTTGTTTTCATAGATTTCTCAAAGGCTGAAGTTTTCAACCTAGAAGATGAGATTTGTACTGAGTATAGAAATGATGTTTCCTATCTAGTTTGTAAATAATCACGGTGCACTTGAGGGGTCTCTTGGAAACTCCTGGGGGCAAGAATCACTATTCTGAAACTGTATAGACTGGGGATTTAGCTGCTGCATTTTGCCTTTCTTAAATAATTATATTTTGGAATGTAACCCCTGTTCTGTCTTCATTGACAGGATTTGCTTGTGTTGTAAAACACTAACACAAGAGCTTCCAGTGCCTGGGCTGTGCCTAGGTGATACTATTTCTCCTACATCCCATCTTCTTTAACCCAAATCCCACTCAGCATACTTTAGACCTAGGTTTTGAGACCAACTTTGGAATGGATCTAGCCAGTGAATTATTACTTCCATGGTTGGTTCCCTTCCTGTGAACTCTGGTAATCAACAGATTGAAAAGGGTGGAAAAACTTCTGCAAATTGCAGTGTGAGCAAATCTTGCTGGTTTTGTGCTGCTTGCCTTTCTAGACCTGCTCATCAGCACTTAATCTTTCCTCCCCTAAAGGTTACTGAAGAAGCTTGAAGGAGGTAAAGGGTGCTCCTCAGCTTCTCCTTATCCCTTCCACTCTTTACCCTGCAGATTTCATTAAATGCCTTAGCCAACGAGTCCAGGACCTGTCCCCCCTGCTAATAATTGTCCTTAGAGATGCTAGTACTTTAATCCAGGTATAACAGTTTCCCATTATTTCCTTACTTGTCTCTTTCCCACATTTCCTCGTGACTTCTCAAGCTCTTGTGGCTTTTGAAGGTCAGCCCAGGAGCAGGCAAGTGAGTAAACAATCCTCAGGAAAAGAAGGACCATTTTAGCTTCAGAACACTTTTTTTTTTTTTTTTTTTTTTTTAGAAGATAGACAAACACATAGTAATTCTTGATTGGAGGATATTTGACTCTGTTTATGAGAGATGTACAAAGATGGAAACGAGGCATGATTCCAGGTATTTAGTGGAAAGGCTGCAGATGTCATTACAAACCCCTAAGATCCAGTGTTCTCAAGACCTCTTAGAACTAGATGTTGTCAGGGATAACTCGAGGAGGGCTCAGTCTTCAGAACAGTCCTGCAGTCTTGACAGAAATCTAAAATCTCCAAAAACTCCTACCCTTTAACCTTACCCCAGGGGAAACTAATCTATGAAAATTACATGTGTGATGATGAAAGATTGAAGTGTGAGGAGTTGAGGAACCTGGAAGATGGTGAGCTGTCACCCTAACTCTATAAGAAGCATGATCTCAGTAGATTGATAATTCGCCTTTTTATACATCTGTAAATAAATGGAATGTTTTTAAGAATATAATTATGTCAGATTTAGCATTTTCTTTTATATATTAAATATATATATATATCTTTCCTTTTCTGCTTTTGAAAGTGACTATTTTTTTAGAAACCTAAGAACAGAAGAAGTTTGGAGATTGAAAGGCAGAATGTATAAACCTGAAATAAATCAGTTACAACAGTGAAAGCAGGAATTCGTGTTGGGAGGCTTGTGCCAAGTTGGAGTATAGAATTCTAATGCCATAAAACATGTTTGAGAGAAGTGCCACTAAAGTAATTTTATTATAGAAATTATTTTGGTGTTTTACTCCTTGTACCATGTTTTACATGGAGGTTTCAAAATGTTGTACAACTTGATGGCTATGAAGAAAGGCTAATCTCATACTACCAGTGTATACAAGACAGTTTATCTGTTACCCTGGGGAATGACGGGACTGAAACACAATCTTAGTGACTGAGGACAGTAGGTCTTCTTAAGGCAAGTAGTTACATAATTTTTATTTATTTATTTTTTAGAGACAGGATCTTGCTCTGTTACTCAGGCTGGAGTGCAGTGGTGTGATCATAATCCACTGTAATCTCGGGCTCCTGGGCTCAAGGGATCTTTCCTTCTCAGCTTCCTGAGTAGCTAGAACTACTGGTGCACATCGCCACATCTGGCTAATTTTATTAATTTTTTTTGTAGAGATGGGGTCTTGCTATGTTGCCCAGGCTGGTCTCAAACTCCTGGTCTCAAGCAATCCTCTTGTCTCAGCTTCCCAAAGTGCTGGAATTACAGGCATGAACCACCATGCCCAGCCCCAGTAGTTTCATAATTTACAAAAAAGTTTAAAGGAATCTTTTAGACATTGAACTCTGTTTATGACCACTAACAGATCAAGTCCAGTTATATAAGCTTTGTGCAAGTTGCTCACTTTGTATAATTTTGTAGTAAATGCAGTGGTTTCCCCCCCCCAAGAATCATAGATGAAAAACAGATGTTAGGCCTTTCTATAACAAGTTTGAAAATGTTTTGAACATGCAAGAGCAGATGATCCATATATTATTTTGGGCAAAGTTTAGTAGGATAGGTGAATTTTCCCCCCTAATTTTACTGGTTGAGATATTTGAGATGGAATAGGGCAAATTGAGAGATACATATACACTTTGAAGATGGGTCTAGAAAATAATGATAACTCTTGTCTCTTTCTCCCAGATTAAAAAAAAAACAAAACAAAAAACATGCACAGTGGCAGCATATTTTCAGGCTTTTTTTTTTTTTGAGTTGGAGTCTCACTCTGTTGCCTAGACTGGAGTGCAGTGGCCGCTCCCGACCACTGCAGCTTCGACCTGCTGGGCTCCCGCAATCCTTCTGCCTCAGCCTTCCAAGTAGCCAGAATTACAGGCATGTGCTACCATGCCCAGCTGATTTTTTGATTTATTGTAGAGATGAGGTCTCGCTTCCCAGGCGGGTCTCAAACCTCCGGGCTCAGGCATTCCACTCACCTTAGCCTCCCAAAGGCACGGGATTACAGGCTGAGCCACCGATCCCGGCTTCAGGCTCTTTTATAGAGAATGGCTGATAACCAAGAATCAATACATTTCTTGCACAAAATTGTTGGTTTTCAGGAAAGTGCTCTAAGGGCATCAATACTTCCATGTCATTGTATTACTGCTAATGAAATTTTACATGGATATGAATGGGTGCAGAGAAAATTAAATATTCATATTTCTAGGTGGAGAAAAAGTTGTTAAAAATGCATTTTTGAAATAGAGGGAAGTAATTTGATATATACAACTTTTAAACCAAGGCATAACTAATACATTAGATATGACTGAACTGCTCTACCAAGGCACATAAGTGTTGAGTAATAGTGATGGAGGTGTGTGTGCAGGTTGGGAAAGCTAAACCATGGGATGAGTTGGATATCAAAGCAGTCTTGGATCCCAACTGTAGTCATTGGTCTCAGCTGTCTCACAGTGCCGTGCATGTAAAGGTGCTCAATAAATATTTGAATTAATGAGCAAATATTTATTCTAGCCTGTTAGTTTTACAGAATCTTACAATTATAACTTATTTGCATGTTAAGCCTAGAGTGAACCTAACAATTTGATCTAATGAGAATAGTGCTAAACAGACAACTATGTAACATCTGTTCCCATACATCTGGAATTTTAGAATTTGACAAACATCGTGTATAGATGTTTAGGACATAACAGCAGAATAAAAAGTGAAATAGTTCATGGATGATTAAATACTTATGTAAGGGTCAACTGCATTTTGGAGGATGTGATAGCAGGCACAGTTGCATGTCATTAATGACAGGGATACATTCTGAGAAACATGTTGCTAGGTGATTTTCTTAAGCAAACATCATAGACTATTACGATGTACTTATACAAACTTGGATGGTATAGCCTACTACATGTCTAGGCTATGATACAGTTTTGCTCCTAGGTTACAACCTGTACAGCATGTTACTGTACTGAATACTATAGGCAGTTGTAACAGTGGTATTTGTGTATTGAAACATACAAAGGGACAGTAAAAATATGATACTATAATCTTAGACCATGCACTCTGTCATTGACTGAAATGTCATTATGTGGTGCATGACTATTAAGTTTTAGTGGGGAAAGGTGAATAACGCTTCTATTCACACTTGGGCCTGGAAGTGTATATTTATTGAGGAATTAATTCCTGAAGAATAGGAATAGCCTACAGCCTATTCCCATATTGGCATAGTACCTAGACAACAAAGGTTAGACTGATTTGTGAAGAATTAAAAATGTGTGGTTTTGACAAACTTAGAATTATCCAGATTTCATACTTAAGAAATTTCCCTGATTACACTGCTCTCCGTTTTTTCATCTAGATCATCTTACACAAGGAAAACAGGAACTGTGATTTGCCTCTTTAGCTTCAGATAAGGGTAATTGGGGGAACATTTTCTCTCAGGGGATAAACCAGGGTAGCTTTGGACAAAAAAATGATGAATGACACTTTGTAAACTCATTTACCTGACCATGAGTGGGTTAGGTAAGTGAGAAAACTGCTAGTGGATACAAAAATGATCTAGAGAGGATTAGGGACAATTCTTATGGGCAAAATTTTTTCTAGTGTTATGGGTGGAAATGACAGTTGCTGAGATCTGCAGCATACACCAGGTGGCACCATTTATTAGTATTAGCTTTTACTCTAATGCAGAGGTCAAATCACAGACTAGCAAAGGGCTGACGGAACTGTGTTGTGGCTAATGGCTCTTGCCTTCGGATTTGGGAAATACATTTGAAAATCCCATTTTATGTTTCATCACATTTGCATTGCATGGTTAAAGAGAAGGTCACATGCTGTTGAAAATCCCATTTTATGTTTCATCACATTTGCATTGCATGGTTAAAGAGGTCACATACTGTTGTCAGTTTTAGGGGGTAACATCTGTCATCTCCATGTCAACTTGTGAGTTTTACATACGTAATTTTTAATACATGGCTACAACACACGCAAATATCTGCTTTGCCACAGCAATGAATTTAGAGGTTCTTAACCTCTTGCTAACATGTCTCCCACAGGGATTCCAAAGAGCTGGATAGGGTGAGACACCCAAGTCTTTTCTGGCTTAGGCTTTTTCATAAGGTAATTTCTTACAGCAGTACCCAGGAGAATCCTGGGGCTCCTAGAAAGTAAACTCTTAGGCTTAATATGTAATGATATATCTGTATTTCCGCCATGAGGTAGAAAAGTTATATCACTCGATCTGGTGTCAGGGAGCTTGTCAGTGACGTTGGCAAGTAATAGTTCTAGGGGAAAGGATTCACAATTGAATTTTGACAGGAGCAAGGAAACGATCTGGAGCAACAAAGTCCTAGTTAACTTTGGGTGAGAGCACGAAAAAAAACACAAAACAGTATATCCACTAGTCTTCCCTTCCCATACCTTCCGCCCACGCTTAAAGCTCTTCAAGGCAACCGTTTACGTCCCATTTCATTCATCTTAACCAATCAGGTTACCGAGTTCAAAACACTTATTGCGATTGAATTTGGGTACTCAGAAGAGTCCTTCCCACGTGGATCAACGCAAAGCTATTCCGACTGCTTTAAAAATCCCAACGCTCGAGAACGGCGAGAGGAGCGTTCCTTGGCTGTACCTCAGTCTTGTAATTCTGAGCTAGGCATTAATTTCGGCTATGGCCCCTCGGGCCTATCAAATGCCAACGTGAGCACCCTGGGGGCGTGGTTATCGTCTTGGGGCTTTAAGAAGTGCGATTCTCTGGGGAACTAGGCCTGATGATACCATAAAAGGCTTGGCTCTCTCAATTCTGAAGCCATGTTCTTCTGACCTTCCACAAAGAGTGGTACCCGCAGTAGCTCTGTGCGGAATCCGTGGTTCTCGAGGCCCAAATCCTCTGCTTCCTAGGCTCTTTCATTGGCTCCGCCCCCTCAAACCTTGTTAGTCCACTCTGGAAACGCCCTCCTGGCTCCTGGCCGCACCTCCTCGCGTCGGCCCCGCCCATCCAGCCCGGAGCTTGGCCCAGGCGGTAGTTCGCGTTTTGAGCCGCTCGTGCCACCATAGCTGCTTGCTGCCGCTGCTGCGGCGGAGCTGAAACTGCCGAGCGCGATGCCCGAGGGCGCTTTGAGCCTGGTGGCCCCCGCGCCCCGGGGCTGGTGAGGCTGGGCCCTAGCGGGGGCGCTGACGAGTAGCAGGGCTCCTGAGTCGGGCGAGAGAGAAAGGTCCAGAGCCGCTGTGGAGGGCGGAGAGCGAGCTCCGGCGGGCAGGCGGGTGGGGGAGGGAGGCGCCCGTGGTAGGACGAGTTGCTGGGCCACAACGAGCCCCGCCGCACCGAGTCCCTGCGACCGCCACCGCAGGAGCCCAGGCCCCCTGTGGATTTCCCCCAGTGGTCTCGCCGGCCTCCTCCCTTGGCCACAGCAGTTGCCATGGGAACAGTTGGGCATTAACGGGGACCAGACCGGCCGCTAGCCCTACTAGGGCCCATTCCATCTCTTCTCTCTAGTTAAACGCCTCTGGCAGGCGTGGGCCTAGCATTTATTCGCGGCTCAGGATTTTCTTCTTTTTCTTGAGTCTGTGCTTACGACATTGGGATAAACCGTGCAGGGCTTGAAGGTGGGGATAAGGGAAAAGGAGAGGGCGGCATCTAGAGGTAAAACTGCAGGCTTAACTAGGTGGAAGGTAAGACTGTGACGCTAAGGTGGCCCTTGCCGTCTCAGGTTATTGAAAGGGCATATTAGAGGGCCCTGTGGAGTGGGAAGGCAGTGCAGCTGCTGAGACAAGACACAGGACTGGGCCGGGGACTGTCCCACGGGGCTCCTCCTCATGATGGCTGTGGAAGGGTCAACCATTACCAGCCGGATCAAGAACCTGCTGAGATCCCCCTCCATCAAACTACGCAGGAGTAAGGCAGGAAACCGACGGGAGAACCTCAGCTCCAAGGTGAGTCCTAGTATTGAGAGCCACCTCTTTCCAGCCCTACCTTTTTCTGCTCCATGTTCCTCCTTAACCTCCCTTTTTTCTTGGAAGGAAGATAACAGAAGCTGCTGTTGGCGCTAAAGGATCAAATGTGCTTGTCTTATGTTTTAATCAACTAAATAAGCCCTACAACTTTGGTTTCAGGTGGAAGGAAAAAGAGCAACAAGGGGGGCATGCTGAGATTCATCCATGAGAAAAGGTGACTAGGAAGGAGGCAGGCAACCTGAATTCATTTGTGGTCCCACTACACATTAAGCATGTGCTTGGGAAGCCAGTTGATATGCTATGACTCAGTTTCCCTTCCTGGAAAAGGGTAGTGGGACCACATACCTGGTGAAGGGCTAAGCTGTGACTAATACAGCTGCAGGTGTTAATGCAACAGCTGGGGTTATGTAAGACTGTAGTAGCAGAAAGAAATGTGCCAAAACACCTAGTCTGAGGAATTGACTTGGCAATTGCTCTTGCCTGGGGTCAAAATAAATTTGTCTCCTCAAGAAGCCTAAGTTAATTTAACTGAAGCTTCTTGGCTTCTCCAGAATGATAATGTGCAAGGAGTCAGATATCTACCAGCAAAACAGCTCTCCTGGTTTGCCCTTGGACATTGCTTATCTCATTCACTGTATGCCAAGAGCCACATCCCACCTGGCTGCAGATAGTCCTCAGAGGCAAAGTTCTTTCTGTCCCTTCTATTGTCTGGGTTTCAGTCCTTATGCTTCATCCCACTAAATAAGCCCTACAACTTTGGGTTGACAGCATTTATTTAATTCCTTGAGGGAATCCAGGGTTTTGTTCCCACAGAATCAGATTAGGTTTTATGTCTTATTAGTGGCCTGTAAACACATAATATTGTGGTGCAGAATTGCTGTAGGGAGAGGCAGGCATTTGAGACAACAGCATTTTATTGCCTTGCCTATATCTCTTGAGAGATGAGTAAATCCTGTGAGGGATGATTTAGGGTGCCATTGTACAACATGGCAGGGTCTGGGAGGACTTATTTCAGATCCCTGTCCTTTAACAGAACTTTAACTGGGTTTGTTAGGAAGGTGAACAGCTTCCCTGTATGTTTCAGCAGAGGTTGTATTGAATCACAGTTTGCCACAAGGTTTTATGGTAGTGGAGACAGTGACTCCCAAGGCTTCTTATTAATCATTGTTTCTGTTCTCTTGAGGCAGGAAAATGAGCCTGAAACTTAGAAATTGTTCTTAGATAATGATGCTGTTTGCTCATTCTTAGTACTGCAAGTGCTCATGTTCTTGGCTGGTAACTTGGCAGTGACTAGCTCTATTAGAGCAATCTTCTCATATCTTTGACCTCTTTTTCTGACCAGGAATGGTATATGTAGTAGAATTGTATAACAGGGCCGGGCTCGGTGGCTCAGCCTGTAATCCCGCGCCTTTGGGAGGCTGAGGTGAGTGAATTGCCTGAGCCCGTGGGTTCGAGACCCGCCTGGGCAGCGAGACCCCATCTCTACAATAAATAAAAAAATCAGCCGAGCGTGGTGGCTCATGCCTGTACTTCCGGCTACTCGGAAGGCTGAGGTGGAAGGATCGCTGGAGCCCAGCAGGCCGAGGCTGCGGTAGCTGGGAGCGGCCACTGCACTCCAGTCTGGGCGACAGAGTGAGACTCCAACTCAAAAAAAAAAAAAAAAAAAGAACTGTATAATAGGAGTTGAGTCGTCACTGTTAATACTTACTGTAATTTTGGTCTGGAATCTAGAAGGTATAGTTGCCAGCCTTAACACTTCTCATGTCATTCAACATTAATGCATTCAACAAGTGTTTTTTGAGTGTCTATTAGTTGTGGAATCAGTGATGAATAAAACATTCTTGCCATCAAACAGCTTGTGGCTAGTAAGACATGTAAACACATAATTACAAGAGGATGTATTAAGTGCCGTTCTTGAAGTTTGCATACGTTATTAATGGAAGCAACCTAAGTTAAGTCAGTTCAGGAGAATTAGGAAATTCTTCACAGTGAAAAGAATGCTTGAAGTCTGAGTCCTAAGGCAGGAGGAGAAGACTCTTCAGGAAAACATTAGAAAAAGGGGCATTCCTGGTATCATCATTAAACATCCCCATTTTAAATAGGAATTCCATGCTTCAGACTGCTTTAAATGGCTTTGTCTGTCTTAAAGCTGTGTCTGAAGGAAATACATAGCTGAAGTTGAATGGCCCTTGAATGGTCTAACAGAACAAGAACACTGGTGCATATCTTTGGCACCCAAGAGAAATAACTATCTTTGTGTACCTAGGACCCTAGAGATGCTTTCTCTTTTTACTTAAGATTATTCTAAGTTTGCCTGTGGTGATCCACATAAGACCTAATGTATTGGACACTGTGTGTTGCTTTAATATATGGTGGCTGTAGATAATATGATAACAGAAAACTTGTGATTCATGGGTAGCTAATTCTGATATAAGATTTGAAGACAAAATTGCATATTCTTCTTTTGGGGGGGCAAGGAGGAAATGTCAGAGAGCTTTTTGTAGCTCTGACTTCAGATGGCCTCCTGCTTTGAATTACGCTGTTCTTTCTGTCTAAAATAGCCTACCTTCTCCTTTTCACCAAGTTCTACACTTATTTTGGGGTCCAACTCCATATTTATCAGAGCCAAGGGCTTTCTCTGACTAGCCCCACTACTTTGAAACCAACTTCCAAGAGTTTCTTTTATATATGTTTTCATTTACCAAGGTCAGAAGTCATGTTCTTTATTTCCTTTATGTCATGCTGTTTAGAATGGTGTAAGATAGGTAGTACATACATAAGTAATAGATGGATAAGAACAATTTAAAGATGTCAAATATAGTGGGGCTAAACTTGGACTTCCAGATGAATAAGAAATAATCAGGGTCCGGCGCAGTGGCTCACGCCTGTAGTCTCTGCACTTTGGGAGGCCAAGGCAAGAGGATTGCTTGAGTCCAGGAATTGAAGACCAGCCTAGGCAACAGCAAGAACTCATTTCTGCACCAAAAAAAAAAAAAAGAAAAGAAAAAAGAAAAAAAAAATTAGACATGGAGACATGCACCTGTAGTCCCAGATACTCAGGCGACTGAGGGAGGATTGCTTGAGCCCAGGGGTTCCAGGCTGCAGTGAGCTGTGATTGTGTCACTGCACTTCAGCCTGGGCAACAGAATGAGATCCTGATTCAAAAAAATTAAATAAATAAAAGTAAAGAAAGAAATAATCAGAAGGAATTTGTGAACTCTTTAGAAAAGAAATCAAAACTAGGATTAATGTTGAACAAGAAGTGGAGATGCAGCCTATTTAGGTGCGAAGGGCATAAGAGAGAAGGGGAAGTATACATATGCAGAACATAGTGCTCAGTAAGGACTTTTTAATTCAGGAGAGACCTAGTAAAAAATACCTTTAAAATATGGTTAAAAGTTGATTTGAGAGAACCAGTTGAGGTAGAGATTTAAGTTAGTGCAGAGATAGTAGATGATGGCTGGGACTTTTATTAAGCTTTTTAAGTCTCTGCAGTGGAGTAAATTGGAAAAGAATGATTTGAAATTTTATGTCAGATTTGCTGAATCTTGGTAAAGTGTAACTCAAAGTTATTGGTTGTAAATACCCTTAGAGTTCAAATCCTGTAGATTCGTCAGTTCCTGCCTCTCATTTCAGTTGAGGGTGTGTTTTCCTTAAGAAGCAAATGTGAGTGTGTGTGCTCTTGGTAACTAAACCTCCTCCTCTTTCCTTAAAGTTTCTGAAAGATTTTTATGTGGAGGGTGCTGGGTTTATTTTTTCTATATTAACAAAGGACAGAAATGGACCGAATCTGATCAGGCAGGATTTAAGTTGGGATACAAAAGGATTTTCTGTGCTTGGACGGCTATTAGATTTTGAAAAAGTAAGTGAGGGGGGGTTTGAAATCTGCCTCCTCAATAGCCACTAATCTGACTTATGGTATGTATTATTCCTTCTGGAAATAATGGGCAAGATGACTTTCTTCTAGTTGTGTTTTTATGATTGCAAATCTAATTCCTCTCTCTCTCTTTTCCCCAAGTTTTTTTCCTGTTTAATTGTGTGGTGTTGCTTTGAGCCTTTTTATAGGTGGCTCTAAGAAGAGTTTGGGTAGGTAGATTTCATGAAGGATTAAAAAAAAAAAGTCAATAATCTAATTTCAGCTTTTGCTCAGTGTGTTTGAGCCCAGATATTATTTGGCAGTGGGGAAACATACTTTTTCAAAGTACTTATGGATCATTAGTGCTAGCTTGATAGCTTGCAACTTGGGGAAGAGGTCAGGAGGGAAGTAAGACATCAGAATACTTGTGCACATTTTAAAACACACATTCCTGGGCCCCATCTTAGCTGTATATAGAATCAGAACCGCCATGGGTAGAGTTTGGTAGTTGTGTATATATCAAGCTCCAGCAGAAGTCCACTGCTGGTTACGAACCCCTGGCCTAGGTGCTAGAACCCAGCAATCTGTTGGCCTCATACCCAAGACCTTATTGAGACTTTCTGGAAGTATAGCTAGCCCACAAAGTGTGCTTGTCTCCTTGAGTAGTTTTTTTTTCCCCAAAATTTTTACTGTGACTTCAATTGTATGCTCTGTAAACTGCCATGTCAGGGATAGATTTGAGAGAGCTACATTGTTGTAGAGTCATATCTGAGGAACTGATCATTGCCATGTTAAAGCAGATCAGCAGGAATTTCCCTGTGGGCAGGATTAGGAAACTTTGTGATAATAACCCTGAGTCCAGGCCAGTCTTTTATGTCACTATTTCACTAGTCACTTCCTTTTGGATTCATAAGAACCAGTAATTTTTTTTTTAAAAGAGCCTTGCTATGTTGTCCAGACTGGGCTCTAACTCTTGGATTCAAGTGATTCTCCTGCCTTGGCCTCCTGAGTACCTGGTACTGGGCATCCCGCTCCCCCAGGCTCCAGTAGTTTGTTTAGTGTTTGATACACACTCTCTGGGATCTCCACCTAGAATAGGTGACTAAGAGCAGGGGTCCCTGTG